GGTTTTTCTTGGTATTCTTAATGAACCAATTAGCAAATCAAAGAGGCAGCAAATAAACATTTGTTATGCTTTTCCTAATCGCCAAAAACCCGACCTTTGATCAACCTATTTTTCGTAGTTTTTTTTTGAGGTTTCACTTTGTTGCAGAAGGCAGACCACAAAAATTTCACACGCCGCCTTCGAAAGTGATAAATTTTCAACTTCCAACATGCATATATAATTCAAGCCAAAAAAAAAAAACAAAAAAAGCTGTTAAAAAAAAAACAAAATAAAAACAAAAGAAAAAACCGCAACCCACGCAGACAGATTATAAAATGCATAACTTAGCAGCTTCGACACCAACTCACCGGCGATAAAGAAGAAGAGGCCACTTCCCAAGGTCGTTACTGGTGGCCCACACATGTGTATCTATAAGCCACCTACCCCTCCCTCCCTCCTCGTTGCCCCCAACTCAACCGTGATTCGATGACTTTCCCATCGTGGATCGCTGGGCTAGCAAAATGCCTTTTCTTTTTATTTTCGCATTTTGCAAAAAACACTCGAAAACGTAAACCCGAAATCCCATTTATTGTTTTGGCCAAAAAGCGAGGGGGAGGGGGGGGGAGGGCAGCACACAGGTTGCCTTGTCAATGAAAAAGTGTCAGGGCTAGAGATTTAATTAAGCGAACAAAGCGAAGCAGAAAGCCCGAAATCCGAAAAACCGAAAACCAAAAAGCAACAAAAACAGAGCAGACGCAAAGTTAGTGAACCTCTAAAAATACAATGAGCGAGAAATAGCGCAGAAAATGCAGGGAATGGGGAAAGATGGAGAGAGAGGGAGAATCATTTAAATTATTTTTAAGCAGGGAAAGAGAAAGGAGACTGCTAGACACTAAGAGAAATTGGAGTTAATCTGAAACTCGTAAAGGTCACACTTTACAACCCACTCATGAATATTATATAACGGTTACTAAGATAAAAGTTGCCAATTCTGCTTTGATTAGAATATAATCCATCTAAAATAGAAGTGGCATGTTTTTCTTTCTGTGTACGCACTTTGGGAACGTGTGTGTCAATGACTCGAGTTTGTTAAATGCTTTTGCTTTTGGGAGCCTACCCGTACTATTTGCGTAATAATTAGTTTTTTTCGTCACTTTTCAGCTCTGTGACATTGAGAGAGCCTTTTATGCTTTTTTGGGTACTCGTGCACTAATTGCAGTATTTTTTATGCCCCGAAGATTGAAGATTGTGTGGTTTCTTCTCTGTGTTGCCCAGTCTTCCTATTGCTCGCTTTTGCTTTTGCTTTGCTTCCTGCTTGATTTGTTTATTGGCTTTAATGTATTTTGCATGTCGGCTTGTCTTGTCGTGTTTTATTTTATTGACTGCCCTGCACTGCAGTTTCTGCCTCTTCTACTGCTGCTTCTGCTTCTTCTTCTTCTTTCTGCCTGGCTGCGCCTGCGCCGTTGCTTTATTTTTTCCCCATTTATTTGCTTGCGTGCTTTATTATCATGTCTCGCTCATAAATATGTATTTTATCTTGTTGTCTGCACTTGTCTGTCTCCAGCCGAAGCCCCGCCTCCACCTCCTCCAACTCCTCCTCCACGTCCCCAGTCCATCTGCTTCCTCCTCGAGTTCCCCGTAATTGGGTCAAAGTTCGCCCAGCTATGAAAATGTTAATTATGCGACAACTGTGGGCCGCTGTCGCTGTTTTTATTGCGTGGGCGGGGAGCTAACGGGAGCCAAGCCCCAAAAATAACATTTATAAACATTGCGGAAATTGTGTTTCACTGTTTGTTTGGCAGCCAACACGCTTATGTACACATGTCTGTATATCGGCTACCCAGATCACGAATGACTCTTAAATGCATATTTGGAAACATGACGTATTCCTCCAGATTGAAATACACAACATTGTGCTCAGCTTATACTTGTTAGCAAACAAATTAAAAATTTTGTTTGGACTTTGCATGAGCAGAACTAGAAGAACAAACTTTTCCACATTTACCTGTGCGAAACTGGAAACATTTCAGTCAGCGATGTTGGAAGTAAGTTGCTTTCGCATTTCTAAACTTATCCAACTTTGCGAGTTTCTTTGTCTGAACTTTGCCATCTGGCCGCTGCTCACAATTTCCAGCTGACCACGTTTAAAGTCGGACTTCTCATTTCAGTAGCACACCCCCACTACCAAAAATCAGTGCACACGGCGCAAAGCCGTTAAAACGTTGCACTTGTACGTGTTCGCTGGAACCGCATGTGGCTAATGGAGCCTCCCCTTCCACCACTCCCCCCCCCACTTCAGCACTTCTGACTCACCGACGACAGTTTGGCCAGCTTATTAAGTGCGACAAAGGCAAAGGCAAACAGCGCAGTTGGTGCCAATATCAAGTTATCAATAAAACGGAAGTGCCCTAAACAAAACAAACACGAAAGCGAGCAGCAGAAATTAAAATAAACAGGGCGGGGGAGAACATGCAATCATAAATCAAAGGAGCTTAGCGAAAAGATTCCCAGAAGCGGAGTTAAGTCACGCCGGAGATCGTCACTGACTGGAATTCGCATCGATCGCAGTGCGAAATACCCAAAACGAAAAGAGCCTGGCCAAAACGAAATTATGATTAACCAGGCGGGCCAAATGGCAGAAATTGGTCAACGCAACTGTGACGTTTGATAAGCTGCTGGGGCCAAAAAGGTGGCTCTCGAGTCGCGGCTCAATAACCAAAGCGAATGTAAACCGGTTGGCCAGTCAGTCAATCGGCGAAAAGTCGGCTAAAGCCACAGCCAAATAAATGCCAACGGAATGAGACAGTAAACGAGCAAGTGGATGGACACCGGGTGACTCCGCATCCGTTACTTTTTACTTTTTAGAGTGCGTTCGCGATCTAGTCACATGCAGATACATTTACAGATACGGATACAGATACGGAATCACATCGAGATACACAGAACGTTCGGGGGCATTACTCATGCTAATTTCACACAGATGCTCGGCCACTGCGGAATAATGAACTACTTAAGTGCCGAAGTAGTCGCCGCTGAGTTGAGTTAACAAGTTTTTAAAGAACTGCGGACACACACAGAAAACAAAGGAATGAGTAATTGCATGAAGAAGACAAGGAAAATATCTTGTGTGATCATTTGCAACTAGTTTGTACTTACTAACAAGATCGTTTAGATAAGCCTTTTGTTTAATAAAAATATTTTACTGCGCAGTCACTATATGAATAAGAACTGAAGAACTTGTTAAATACTTTTTTCCAAGTGTATTGAGTTCGATCTGCAAAATTGATGTAAGCCCTAGCATTGTGAATTGTGTGGGCGAATTTGACAGGCATTTCTTTGGCTAAATTTCAGTTCATAATAATGTGAAATTAAAGATATTTTCGAAAGCTGATTGACAGCACAATTTCATGAAATGGTGTAACCGATAGAGCTTAATCCACCTGGACAACCTTATAAGGGCAACGTAAAAGAGCTGGTCATTCCGAGAAATTGAATAGAAATAAATATGGAAATCAAATCACTTAGGTTACTTTGAATTGTCGTGCGCAACCAGCTCTAGAGTTGCAAATGGAAATCCACGGACTTGATTACTCATTGTTCAGATATTTTAACCCTGCTTAATCACAGCACAAATCGAATATTAAGTATTGATAAGCTTGCTAAAAACACTGTCGTGTAAATTAGAGCTTTATGGTTTATTCAAGTTAAAAACAAATTGGGTAATATGGAAGTTACTTCAAATATTGATTGGACATTAAAAGCAAGATCGCTCTACTCTGAATTTGGCTTTAAATTTTTATCAAATGCAGTATAAATTTATCGCGTCGGAATTACTCCTTTCGATGAATTTTCAAGCCCAATTCCCAAATCAAATTACCCACTTCAAGGGTATAAAAATACTTTAGGATCTGCAGAGGCGATAAACAACAACTTGAGGCAAATCCAGCAGCGGCGGCAACTCAATTTGGTTGCATTCATCACAAAGCTGCCGGCGGCGACCCCCACAAAGTGCACCAGCAACATGCAACAGCAGCAACAACGGCAGCAGCAACAACAACAACAACAATATGAACGCCCAAGCACAACAACAACTTGCCGTTGGCCTCCCAAGCGGCGCATGCCACACTTTTTCCGTTTTTCTGATTTTTCCAACAGCTAACGGTAATTTACAAAAGCAATGTCTATTTTTGTACCGCCGCCGCTGCAGCATAGTTGTATCTTGCAGATACATTTTAAACTTATAATTTAAATACAAGCACAAAGTCAAGGCATTGTTTAGCTGTGTGATTATGATGATGACTGTGGCACTCGTTCCTGTTGTTCCCATACCCTTATAGAGGGTATAACTACCAGAACTATGAAACTATTGCAAATACTTCGAAGACTTATTAAACAAAAAAAAGTATTGCGGTTTAAATTTTCATTTTTTGTTTACAAGATTTAAGAATATAATAAAAAACCATTGCTAGTCAAGTAAGGGTGTGGAAGCTTCGGTTTTCCAAGTAAACCCTTGCCTGTTTTCTTTTTTTATTATTCCTACTATTACAATTACCCTGCAGGCGAAAAGCCAGAAAATGTGTTAATGTGTGAGAAGAATCCGTTCTCGGCATTTTTGTTTTGGCTTGTAGTCATTTTTTGTTTTGTTCGCCGCTTTAAGTTATTAGACAACATAGCGGACACAAACTAATTAAAGCGACCAGAACAAGACGCAAGATGAGGCGTCACCCAGTGGATACAGATACTCAGATACTCAGATACATTTCGTATTTCGAGAAAAACACACTGCAAACTAAAGCGAGGCGCAGTCAAGCATAAACTCTAGCGATTGCTAATTATAAAGAGACTAAGTGACTCTCAGAAGCAAAGGCTGAGATCATTGCTCTCCGCGAAAATTTGCTTATGAAAAGAAAGCAGTAAAAACTTTGCACGAGCAAAACCTAAGCACGAAAATAGCAGCAAAAAATGCCAAGTTATTTACAGCTAATAAGTATAGGAGTATGGAAACATAAACATTCGCTTACCTTGTAGACCTGACCGTAGGTGCCATTGCCCACAACTTCGATGAGCTCAAAGATGCCAGCCGGATCCTGAAAGAGAAAAGTGGAGAGCGTGAGAGATGAGCCAGGGAAAATCAATGTGTGGAAACGCCCAAATAATCCTTTTCGCCAGCTGCCGAGCTGGCAAACAAAGAACCCCTCTCAAGGCAACCCGTACCACTTAAACTTAAACAACCTTTAAACACGAAACAAGACAGCGTTTCGTCTTTGCTTTTGTTGTTTGTAAACAAATTATTAAGGCATAACAATACAAATAAGGAGAGGCACTGCTTTAAAAATAAAAATCCTCGATTTCCAAATTCCGATTCGGATTCCCATTCCCATCCCCCCTTCCTCCGTCCTCCGTCCTCCGTCCTCCGTCCTCCGTCAATCGTCCCATATCCCACTCCATGCCCATGCCCGTGTTGTTCTCGGTCCCAAAAGCCATACAAATTGCATGCGAGTTCATTGACACGCAACTCGTGACACGGCGTGACACGAAACTAAAAAAAGAGGGAGCTAGTCCGACAATGCTTTCTATTTTTATTGGAGCACAGGTTGCGGGGGGAAGGGGAGATCGGGGATTACAAAGACGTCCAGAACGACAGGTAAGGCAAATGCCAATTAAAAGAACTACAAAAACTGACTTTTTTGACAACCTCAACTGACGCTCAAAGCTTCGAAAGAGGTTGGGGGTTAAGAGCCACGAGGCGCACATAACGAAATAGTGCTCAATAAATATTGACTTAGTGGGCTTTTTCGTATAGAGCTATTTCTGGATCAATTATTGTGGTATCGGTTTGCCTATTATCATAGAAAACCAAGTTAATATCATTAAATCTAATGCCCGCAGGCATGCAATGAAGTAGATATTTACAAAGCTGTTGGGTTGTGTTTTTATTATTTAGTCAAAGAATATTTTCAGTGCAAAATTCAATTGACGTCCCACAAGAAAAGGTGAGTAGAAGAAGTTAGTAAAGTGCACCTAGTGCTCCAAATTCAGTCGAGGCAAAAGTTCCACGACAAGTTTAGCGACGAACTCGAAAGAAGGTTGATTGAAGTCTTACAAATTTGGTTCACACAAGGGACACGCCCCAGGAAAATCCATATATAATTGACAGGAGAATGGTACCAGGAAATCCGTATAGAAATAATCGAGCGAATGATTTATGGAGTATCATACGTTGTCAGCTTTATGCGACGTTAATCCCCATCGAACCAACTGCAGTTTTCCACCCCAAGAGTGCAGTTTCCCCACGATTTTGTTCTCAGGGTGGAAGCTCCTTAAGCTATAGGAATTATAGACCAAAAGACAAAAAGTCAACAGCCAAAAAAAAAGTATAGCAAAAGTAAAGTAAAACCCACGAAATAAACAAATAGGGAAAATCTAAGAGAGGCGGTGGCGGTGGCGGGAAAACTAAAGAACTGTGGAAGCCGCTTTAAGTAGATTTATGGCTGCTCCCCCAGCCCTTTTTATACCACTCGAAGACCCGAAAAGTGTGTCAGACACATGCGATAAAGGGAAAGGCATAGGAAAGCCGAACAGAGAGAGAGGAACCCAAAGACAAAGGGAATTCGCTGGGAGTGCGGCGGCAATTACTGCTATTTACGGCTGATTACTTCACGTTGTAAAAATCAATTAAAAATTCACGAAAAACGAACTCACTGAGGGGGAAAAACGGCAGAGGAAACCGAGAGAAAAGTATCCGCTGGAACCACTCCATGACTCATTAGCGTTGACATGTTAAGCAAGGCAAAAGCAAAGTGAGCAGTGCGGTTGGAGAGTGGATTTTGGGAGGGGAAGGGGAAATACCTGGGGCAGGTAGCCGTTAGAAAAAGTTCTAGACGCTGGTGGTCAGCGATCGTACACGGCGGGAAAATACACCCCGCTGGGGAGCCAATTTATATTCGTATTTTTATGGAAACCAACTAAAACTGAGCAACCATTATTCGTCGGTTTTTCTCCATGTGCAGATTCGGTTACAGTTATCAGTTAACAGCAGGCAAAACAGGCTGGTTCGGATTTGCTTGTTACTGCGGTTCATTCCTGCCGCTCTCCTTGGAAATTGTCCAGCTGCCGCCACATGTGTCCCCCTGCTACCTACCCCCTTCCCCCTCCTCCTTTTGTTTGCCTTTCCTCTCCAGCCCCAATGTATCATAGTTGTTGCTGCTGCTCCGCTGTTTGTTTTTGTATTTGTCCAAACGGGTACAACTAAAACTAAAACTAAACAACCCGTTGGAGGCCGAAAGAGCGAGTCGCGGACCAACGCAGACGCTGGCGGCACAGTGAAGTCTGCTGGGATTGAACACAGATTCGGAGCCTTATTTGTGATATAGGAAAATATGATACTTAGTCTATGTCAAGATTAGCAAATCCTCATTGAAATAAAGAAAGCTTTTCTTTTTTATGCAGTCTATGAACTGATCTTCGGTATGGGTTTACCACTATAGGTTTGTCGCCGTCTGTCTCTTCGGTTAGTTGCTTCATTATTACAGTTTGCTTGGCCTGGCAAACTGGAATTTTTGTGTTGTGCTGTGTTGTTTTGTTTTGTTTTGTTTGTCTAAAAGCGCAGAACTCCGTCCCCTGCCACTTGGCCCCTTCCCTCTTCAAAAAGGCTTGGCCCAGTTAGCAGCGAAAAATGCAAAGAGCAGGAGAGTGGCTAAAAACAGGACTGACTGCATATTAGGACGCCCATGCAATTCAGCGGGCTGGCTTATGCAGATTCAGTGGCTGCACTAAGAAAAACATATTTAAAAAGGTAGATTCAACAACATGAAAATATAGTTTAAAAAATGTAACAATTTTGTTCAACACAGAAATATTTTCTTATTTTATCTTAAGTTTTTAAATTGAAATCTTTATCGCTCGTCCAACTTTTTGTCAGTGATCTCAACTATGCTTTTCAGTCTTATATTATTTGTGGGTCGCGTGGCCGATTCAATTAGGAATGCATTCCGCTGACGTCACAAAACCCATTTACCTAAATTTTAGGTATCAGAAAATGAACCTAACTTTGATTACAGCTGATAACTCCGCGACCGATTTCCACAGTTCCACATGGAAAATATAGATTTCCCAATACGCTGGGAAATTCGCCTTCATAAGCACACTCGATAGGGTAGAGATGCCTCTTCCCGAGCTCTATAAAAAGTGTTTTCCCGGGGCCATTGTTGATTTAACCCACAAAAACTGAAACATGTGTGGATTTTTTTCCACTCTTCGCCGCCGTTTCCTTCGACGCAAATTGCAGCACAGACGGACACATGGAAACCGAACAAATGTGGGCGAACACGTTTTTATCGCAGCTAACGAAATGCAATAAATGTTGATTAAAATAAACAAACACTGCGGGAAAACAGGGACTCTAATTTTATACTTTAATTCTTATTTTAAATATTTCGCCACAGCTGAGGGACCACTTACAAATTTTCGAGAGATTGGATATTTTGTTCTTTAGGAGTGAAATTGAAAAATTGTTTACGCCTCTTTGCCAAGCACATTTCTTTTTTTTTCCAGTGCACATGTAAAAAAGCAGTCAAAGACGGAGCTACACCAAAATAAAGGCAAACCCGCGTTTGAATGCTTATCAGAGGAGAATAAAAAAAGAACTGCACTAAATACAAATAAAGAGGAGTCGAAAAACCAGAAACAATTAATGAAATTTGTGCTGATGAATGCAGTTTGCGGTATCTTATCTGACGTGGGGAACGCAGTTGTTATCGGACGGAGAAAAACCAGAACGGAAGCCTCATAAAATAAAACCTGCCCGTTGCGAGGGAAAGAAGCAAAGCTTTAAGGACTCTGACCTTTTCTCGTTTTCTATTTCGGGACATTCCCCAGCTCGCTCGCTCGCTCGCTCGCATCTCTCTGTTGCCCATTGTGTTTAATGACCTTTAAAAGCCACGCACAGACAGGTCAGCTGGATATGGCAGACATGCAGACGGGGGCCGCCCACGCCTTCTTTTCTTTAACGCCCCCTCATCGAAAGGAGAAGGCCAAACAGAAATAACAAAAATAAAAACAACACTTCAAACAAGACACACAATTCATATTCTCATGCCTGCTGCCATTTTTGCTGATTTTGCTTTGGGTTCGTCGTCGTTTTCCTTGGCAGCCAGTGTGTGCTCCATCTTAATCATCGTTTTCATCATCATTACGATTTGGATCCACATTATCGCCATCTTCAAGCCGTCTGCTGCAGCACAGACACAAATGCGGACTCAGATACAGATACATGTGGCTCACATAGATACAAAAGCACGCATGATGGTGTTGCTCTGCTCGCTTCTGCCTGCCGCCTTTTAATAAAGTAAACTAAACAATTTTCATTCTTGTCTCGTTTTTGTCTCGTCTTCGTCGCTCTGCATCGACTATGAACAATTTTTCATAAACACACACGAATGCACAGTTGGGGCCAAAATAATAGCACTTGCGGGCAGAACGGCTCTAATTCCCCATCTTGTAAGTAGCTTGTAAACTGAGGCGGTGCTTTTAATCAGAAGTATGAGTCAATGGGCTTCAACTTTGAGGTAAAAATACGTTTCATGAGAAGGCATTTATCACCTAAGGGAATCGGGGCTTAAATCTGTTTACAGAAGCAACCAATTTTAATTGGTTAAGATTACAGCTGCTCCCATTATGGATACTTCGATTCTTCGAACAGGACATTTTGTCAGAAAAGGTCGAAAAAAGCATTTAAATAGAGATATCCCAAATTATCTACATGCATGTTGCAAAGGATTTTTGGGTTTAGCTCTCCATTAAAGCCTATTACTTTGACCTCATCTGTTTGCAGCACACTCACAAACACAGCGGCGCACATGCCGAAGCAGCGAGGCGACGACCCAAGCACCACCACCACCCCACCGCCCATCACCCCTCCACCCCCCGCCGCACCCCACTTCCAGGCAGAGTCAACAAACGGACACTCACACACACTCTCGTGCGAATCTGAACTTTCGGTGGGTGCGCAAAAGAGAGGGCGCCGAACGTGGGGCCGGCGGGCGTGGTGAGTTCCGCCACCGAGAGTGGTGAGAGTGGTGAGTGTTTGGTGAAAGAGAAAGGCAACAAACGCATGCGGCAGTGCGTGCGGGCGAAAGGGAGGCAGGCGGGGGGCAAGGCGGCCAAAAGGGGGTTAAGACTCGACAAATTCATTGAGAAACGAAAAGCGAAACAAAAAATAGCTTGGCAAAGCGGAGAAGATGACACCGGCCGGTCAAAAGTTGCGCACACCACCACACACACACACACAAAAAGCACAGGGTGGGTACTAAGTTGGGTGGTTTTCTATCAGGCAATGAAATCGAAATGCCAATATGCATTTATCAACTCGATTATTATTGTGATTGCTTTAAGGGGGCGGATAAAAATGCAAGGAAAAGGGAGCCTTTTTCTGGTTGCCATGACAAAGTGCGAAAAAAAACGAACACAAAGAAAATTTTCGCTTTTGTTGTACTTTTAAACAATTTGCATAAATGTGTGGGGGAAACCTTCAAGGGTTTGACGACTGTAAAGGCCAATGGAGTCGTGTTGTATAAGATATTCTGGGGTATTTATGGAACAAATTTCTCTACAAAGGGGTAATAAGAATCGTAAGGCTTAAATATTTATTACAAGGGCGAATTTAAATTTTTTGTTTTGGTTTTTGGTTGCGATGGATTGATTGTTTGAATTTCTTTTACCGGACTGAGCTGCAAGCATTGAGTTTATGTCTTCAAGCTTATAGCGTTTGAAGTTAATATTTTTGATACAAATTTTTCGCTAAGAAATAATTCTTTATACATATATGATATATTTTATATGAGTTATCATTAACGACGTTTGGAATTAACAATTATAAAGTAAGATTGATTAAAAAAAGTACTGCATAAATAAACTATCTATGTAAGAAATGTAAGGAACCCATACGTTCAACCATTAAGACGAATACATTTATGTCCCTTATTAACTTTGTTTATACAAATTATAAACGGAAATTGGAGTGTAAACGACCACACCTGGGAGATTCAAGGGGGGCTGTTAGTTTCCCGTTAATCGGTAGAGGCGTGTTAATGAATTCAGACGGGGAGTGGGTAACAATATTTGGGTCTCTATTTTCGGGGGCTCTATTTGCGATAAGCTGAAAGCCAACCGCAATAGACTCACTTTTAGGGCCGTCAGATCGATATCGTCCAGTGAACAGTTGACCGATGGAGCCAGTTGTTGTTGCTGCTGGTGCGCCATTTTGATTTGCTATTTTTTGTTGTTCTTCTGGATCTGGAGAATTGCTGCTGCTGCTTCTTCGCACGCAGGAGGGGGAAGAGAGGTGGAGAGAGAAGAAATGCAAATGAAACGGCGAAGGGGCAGGGAAAACAAGAGTTCGAAAAAAGGAGTGGAGAGCAAACTGAAGGATTAGATTTGGACTTTAATCGTATTTACTTTAAGCAGTAAAAAACCCGTGCAATTAACAAACTATTTGTTGCTGTCATACAACTTTTCTCTTTTTGCTTCTCCGCTCTTCTTCTCTCTCTCTATCTCTCTTTCTCTCTCCCTCTGCGAGTGTGTGTGTTTTTGACCGAGTGTTTGTGTGAGTGTCAGTTAACGTTTGGCAAACGGGGCGCGGCTCTTTTTAATTCCCCATCACTTTTAAAAATCTTTTTTAAAAAACATTTATTTATTTAACTGCTTTTTTACACTTCACAAATTAATTTTTCGTTTGCGGCGCTCCGATGGACCAGCCAACACACCCACACCAGCGCAGCAACGTATATGTGTTTGTGTAGGTAGACAGAAAAATCTGCCACTCGCTTTTTCGTCCCGTTTTCGCGCAGGATTTGCGAATTTCCCGGATCTCCACCTTACGCACTCTTCACGCACAGCGATGGGGCGCCTATCGCTTTTGCATCGCACGAACAGCAGACTTGTTCAATTTCCTTCGCTTCTGTGAAAATCAGAGTTGCGTTCCTCCGCGACGCGAAAAATCTCGACCGTCGTTTTCTTTTTTCTTTTGAAACTGACTTCAAAGTGTAACCGTGTCTCTTCTTTCAAATTATCATAAACAGTGTTGCTGCTCTTTCCTAAATTTGCCGGCCAATCATTTTCATCGACGAAGCATGTTATGGTTGGCGCCTCCGATAGCCCAGACTGTTAAATACAACGCTAACAGAAATAACGTTACAACTTCATTAAATTTGATAGTGCTTTTAGATTTTAGGGTCACCACTTGCAAAAAGGTGGACCAAAACCTCTGCTCATTTTTCCCGATTTTTAACTGGTAAGTTTTAAGTTTAAGTTTTCCATCGAATTTTTATTTTGGAGAAACTTGCTTTCTTTTTACATACTTCCATGTAACATTTTTTAAGTTTCTGATGGCTTATGAATTCCATAAAACATCAAATTCATATAACACAACTTTGCCACTTTTTATTCGAATGAAAAAAACAAACGTTGTGCCCCTAAAATCTAAATTAAGTCGAAAGTCGATTTTCTGATCCATGTTTATCCATGCTCGTGACTTGTACATCCAAAGCAGAACATTTGAAACAAAACTTTTAAATGTTTGAGTGAATGTTTGAAATATAAGCAGTACAGCCTTGTAAGAGTGTGAAATAAGTTTAAGAGAAGGGACAACCAATTAATAAATATAAATAAACATAATTTTTAAAGTGTTTTTAAATTCACTGCTGGTAGAAAAGAAATGTTATCGATTTCTACTTTTCGGTTGGCATCTCCTGCCAGAAAGTCCAATTGGCATTGTTGTCGAATTATTAGAGATGACCCTAGTTGCAATGTTTATTCGATACTTTTGGTGTTGCCAGATGTGTAAGTCGGTACTATCGAGCCCTCTCCCACCCCTATCTCTGAGCAACGTGGTTTCTTTTTGCTCTTTCTTTCCAAAATTGCGTTGAACGGAGTGGTTTGTCGCGTCGTTCTAAAACCGTTTAAACTTGTAAGTAAGGCAGTGGGAACCCGCTAAAACTCGCAAAATATGCGTTGTAATCAGGCCGGCAGCTGCCGAGGTCGAAGTTTTAGCGAAAACCATAAAGATGCCCTGAAACATTTGACTGATATTCAAGCTAACCCAACTTTTTCCGATGCAGTGCAATGGGTCGCGTTATTCGTGCACAGCGTAAGGGCGCTGGTTCCGTGTTCAAGGCGCACGTGAAGAAGCGCAAGGGAGCCGCCAAGCTGCGTTCCCTGGACTTTGCCGAGCGATCTGGATACATCCGCGGAGTCGTCAAGGTGAGTTCTGCAAAAAGGATTTCGATAAGCCGGAACAGTGGAGCTTGCTTAAAGTGGATATAGAAACTCTAAACTTGTTGCATTTTTAATGGATTTGTCGATATGACTAATACTACATTCAATATCTGGTAATCCTGATTAGAAAACCATCAATAACAATATTTGGACATTCAGTTGAAAAGTTTCTTTGACAACATTTTTGTTATTTACCAATTAAAATATTATCAAACAAGAAAGGAAGCTAGCTTCGGCAAGCCGAAGCTTATATACCCTTGCAGTCATCAAACATATCGAACAAAATACATAAAGGCTAACAACACCGAAGCTATGACGACTTTTCTATTAATTTTCCATATTTTCGACTATTGTTCATATGGCAGCTATATGATATAGTCGTCCGATTTTGATGAAATTTTTTTCTCGGTTCAAGGGTAGTTCATAAAGTAGATGTTGTAAAAATCATGCTCGTGGAATAAAAACAACAACGTTATGATTATTTTGCCATTATTTCTATATATATTTTTAGATCTTTCCTATGGCAGCTATATGATAGGGTTATTCGATTTTGATAAAATTTAATCCGAAATTTAATAACCGTTAGAAAACGCCATCTTGAAGAATTCAAGTCGATCTGATCAAAAACAACGGCGTAATAATTTTTTATCCTTTATTTTTTTGACCTCTTGTATGGGAGCTATCCGATATAGTCGGCCGATCCGGCTCGTTCCGACTTATATACTGCGTGCAATAACTACACATCTTTTGGGAAAGTTTCAGCAATATAGCTTTAAAACTGAGAGACTAGTTTAGGCAGAAACGGACAGGAGGACAGACGGACAGACGGACAGACAGACAGACGGACAGACGTACAGACGTATTTCGACTCAGATCGTGATGCTGATCAAGAATATATATACTTTATGGGGTCTGAGGTGTCTCCTTCACTGCGTTGCAAACTTCTGGCCAAAATTATAATACCCTTTGCTCTGCAAGGGTATAAAAATATATTGAAGAAGTTTATTGGAAACTTTTCAAGTTACTAATATTGCCTTGCAAGTACTGCTGCTCTTAAGGTCATAAAGGACCACTTTAAATAAACATTCTCCAGCAGTTACAAGCTTATAGGAACCAGTTTTACTATCTGATACTTATCCTGATTGGCCATTGTTCAACTATAACTAACTCTTTGGTATTTCCAGGACATCATCCACGATCCCGGCCGTGGCGCTCCCCTGGCCGTCGTGCACTTCCGCGACCCCTACCGCTACAAGATCCGCAAGGAGCTGTTCATCGCCCCCGAGGGCATGCACACCGGCCAGTTCGTGTACTGCGGCCGCAAGGCGACCCTCCAGATCGGCAACGTGATGCCCCTGAGCCAGATGCCTGAGGGAACCATCATCTGCAACCTGGAGGAGAAGACCGGTGACCGCGGCCGGCTGGCGCGCACCTCCGGTAACTACGCCACCGTGATCGCCCACAACCAGGACACCAAGAAGACCCGTGTCAAGCTGCCCTCGGGCGCCAAGAAGGTCGTGCCCTCGGCCAACCGCGCCATGGTCGGCATCGTCGCCGGCGGCGGTCGTATCGACAAGCCCATCCTGAAGGCCGGTCGTGCCTACCACAAGTACAAGGTGAAGCGCAACAGCTGGCCTAAGGTGCGTGGTGTGGCCATGAACCCCGTGGAGCATCCTCACGGAGGTGGTAACCACCAGCATATTGGTAAGGCGTCCACCGTCAAGCGAGGCACCTCCGCCGGTCGCAAGGTCGGTCTCATCGCTGCCCGTCGTACCGGTAGGATCCGTGGTGGCAAGGGCGACAGCAAGGACAAATAAGCTCTGGTTGCAGCAGGATCGTTCCGGCGTGGGGCAGGTTCCGCCTGAGGTCTGGGCAGTAGCCGTGCTCTGCTGTGCGGCGCTCTGGGAGAAAATGCTATTCTATATGGAAAATCTGTGTGTTGTCGGCATACAAGTGACACGGCGGAATAAAACGTATTTGTAAAAAATTATCCACAACTGCATTTTAAAAATTGTGAGGTGGAAACTTTAGTGCCTTTTCTGGGGATCAAATTTGAATTAAAAAAATGTATTTCATGCATATGCACTGGTGATAAAACGAAACAAATTTGTCAATGCAACTTGTTCAATAACAACAATTAATTGTTTGGATTTAAAGTTGGAAGGATTTGGTCATCATAAATGGAATCTAATCCAATCCATATTTGTTAAGCTGTAGAGATGATAAACAGAGGTCTAAACAAATCTCAGAAGTCGATGTAACTTTTTTATTCAAAACAATTTAATGTTATTAAATCAGAGAACTATTAATTGTTTGGATTTGAAATTGATAAGATTAGGTCAGCATAAATGGAATCTAAAAGAATCCATCTTTGTTAATCTGTAAGACGTAAACAGAGGTCAGAACAAATCTCATGTCGATTTCAAGCATATATAAACTTGACAAAACAAATTAGTCATTGTAACTTTAATAATTAAAACAATTTAGTTTTATTAAAATAGAGAACTATTAATTGTTTGGATTTAAAGTTGATTAGATGAGAAAAGCAGAAACGGAATCCAAATCTATCCTTTTTGGTAAGGTGTAAAGATGATTAACTAAAATCAGAATAAATATCAGTTCTGAATAATAATTAACAATTATCCACAAATTATTTTTTTTAACTTTTTTATTAAAACAATTAAATGTTATTAATTGTTTGGATTAGAAAATGATAAGATTAGGCCAGCATAAATGGAATCCTTATTAATCCATCTTTAGAAAGCTGTAAAGATGATTAGCAGAGGTCAGAACAATGGAAGTAAATAATGAATTTTGAAAATTTATTAAAACTCTTTTACTGAATAATATTGGAAGCAAATAATTGTTTATAAACAAATAAAAAATAATTTTATTGACGCTTTTGAAGTTTTTATACCCTTGCAGAGCAAAGGGTATTATAATTTTGGCCAGAAGTTTGCAACGCAGTGAAGGAGACACCTCAGACCCCATAAAGTATATATATTCTTGATCAGCATCACGATCTGAGTCGAAATACGTCTGTACGTCTGTCCGTCTGTCTGTCTGTCCGTCTGTCCGTCTGTCCGTCTGTCCTCCTGTCCGTTTCTGCCTAAACTAGTCTCTCAGTTTTAAAGCTATCTTGCTGAAACTTTCCCAAAAGATGTGTAGTTATTGCACGCAGTATATAAGTCGGAACGGGCCGGATCGGCCGACTATATCGGATAGCTCCCATGCAAGAGATTGAAATCGACTTGATTTCTTCCACATGGCGTTTTCTAGGTACTATTGAATTTCGTGTTAAATTTTATCGAAATCGGATAACTCTATCATATAGCTGCCATAGGAGAGATCAAAAAATATATATAGAATTAATGGAAATTAATTGATAACGTCATTGTTTTTCATCACACGACTATGATTTTTTGAGTATCAAGTTTTTTAACTAGCCTTGGTTCATAAAAAAAATTTCATGAAAATCGGACAACTATATCATATAGCTGCCATTGGAAAGATCGAAAAATCTATATAGAATTAACGGAAATAAAATGATAACATCGTTATTTCTCATCAGCAAATCATGATTTTTGGAATATAGTTTTCTAACGACCCTTGAATAACAAATAAAATTTCATCAAAATCGGACGACTATATCATATAGCTGACATATGAACAATAGTCAAAAATATGAACAATTAATAGAAAAGCCTTTGTGTTCGAAATATTTGATGACTGCAAGGGTATATAAGCTTCGGCTTGCCGAAGCTAGCTTCCTTTCTTGTTAGTATTAATTCATCTCTGCCAACAAACGGTCCCACAAACGTATCGATACTATTGTGAACTACAATTCCCATCTATCGAATAGGGGAATTCCCCCTACGATTAGGATTTGTAGAATCTTCTTAATACTTTTAAATAAATAGCAAAGAATAAGCTTTGTTAGGAAATAAACCATTTATCTCATTTCGCTTCAAATTCTTATTCGGGGAAAATGTTACGGTTGAAGAGCTCTCTTTACCGAATCTGAATAAGCCGCACTAACGGTTTTAGTTATAATACAATTTTTTAAGGCAAAGAATATAATAGAATAGAAATCTAACAATCGTTGGTGAACAGCTTTCAAAATAATCAGTACTATCGATTTATCTATCGACTGCTTGTCATCTCTAGTTGGTATGCGCGGAGTGAAATAAATCAAAGTAATTTCCGTCGGTCGCTGAAAATATGGATCGCACTTTCTACGAAGGCTGGCTAATTAAGTCGCCGCCCACAAAGCGCATTTGGCGAGCAGTAAGTTTTCTGTTGGGAGCCCTTAAAAAGTAAATTCACCCCATGAAATTATGCCCCACCAGTCCGAAGGAATATTCCTTAAGAAACCCAGCTTAAATCAAAAACCAAAAAATCAACCAGAAAACTCGAGTGTTTTGTGAAATGTGAACACAGCAAGTAACCAACGGTAAAGTAAAGGCCGGAAGAGAATTACCGTAATCTGTGCCCATCGATTGAGTCACGGAAAATAGGAAAAAAAGCGACGGATAATGGAAGTGGCATTTTTTTACAATTACGCTAAGCTTGTGTAGGTGCCTACTTTACTGTGTGCGTGTGTGTTTGCTTGCTGTTGTTGTTTGTGGTATAATTTAATTCATTATAAAGCCGAGGATTGCGATTCCAGTTGATTGGAATGCAAACGAGCTGAAAACCGCAGCAGAAATTGCAAATTGTGAATGAATTTACGATGGCTTCCTCTGCATTTTCTCGCTTTTCTCTCTTTGTCCGCACCTTCTCTTTCTCCGCCTTTCCCTCTCCCACTCTCTTTCTGTTTATGTTTGCTTATGGCGTGGGAACGTGTTTTGTTTTTTGGCGCTGGTCTAAATTTACGCTTAATTAATTTTCCTTTAATGTTTACTTTAGGGAGCCGTTCGGGTATTAAATTACCGCCAACTGTTGCGCTTAATCAAATTTATTTGCCACGTATTCCTACATGTATGTTTTTTATGTGCATATGTAGCTTGTTGTAATATATAAGGGCGATAAGCCTGATCGGATCCAGCACAAAAAACACACCACCAAACGACGGGAGCCACACAAACAATGACGCACTTGTCTCTTCAGCTTCTTGTAGTTGTTTTTGTTGTCTGTGATAGGGATGCGTGCGTGTTCTGGTGTAAACCGTCTTATAAAGAAGGATACCCACGTACCTTTAACAAAAAATATCTATATAAAACCAGGTTTAGTTTTGAGTTTTTTAAGTTTTAACAAATCACCACCAATTTTTTAAAAGTTTAATATATGTATATGTATGTAAATCACGCGATCACTTCTTGTGTGTACATTTGAAACCACTATATGTATATAGAGGGTACGACAATTCCCGGAACACCCAAACCGTTGATCAAAAAGGTGTCCATTACAGCACTTTTAAGTTACAGCAAACCCTATTAATGGTTTTACTGTACTGCTTTTGTTTGTTTTCGTTTGAACAAACAATGACCGTCAAAAAAAAGTCACTAGTGTACACACTGTCAGATCTTGCCTACGAAAGAATCTAAGAAAATAAGAAGTATACAAACTATTTATAATGCAACAACTTGAAAATTTGTTGCTAGCGTTTTGAGCTCTATTGTATAAACAAACTATAATGATGCCTCAAGAAAATAAGCTGCGTAATTCCAGCGCCTCGGGGTGCAAATTTGTGGCTTGTGTGCGGCATTATGTTTATTGTTTATAATTTAATTAAGCGTGATATTATACAGTCCAAAAAAGCATCCATTATCGGTTGGAGTTTTCAGCGGGGTCCCGAACCACCCAGCTGTTTGGGCAATCATTTAACGGTAACGTGGGCGTGGGGTGCTCATATTTGTATCTGTGTGTGTGTGTCTGCTGATTAGCCAAGAAAACGTTAATGCAAAATATTATGATTCGCGGAAAAACAGCGGTTCCGCTGTCTCAGTCGACTTTGACGTTGGCTTCATCACCCGCTTACTCACCACCATTTAATGTTGATATAGTCAGTCGTTCAGCTGATCAGCCGGGTTGTAAGTGGACTGCTGCACCCCCATATCACATCCACAGTCAGTCAACAAGGGTATCTTAATTTACAACAGAAATATCAACAGACTCGTGAAGAACATTATTTTCAGCTCTATCAACTTGAGTATTGTAAGATATGGTCTTACACCCGATACGAGTGTTGTTTTATATGTACTTAATCTCAAACAGTTTTAAAAACGAAAAAGAACATTGTGAACTTGAGTCAAATTGTTTTTATAAACAAGGATTCTTTGTTATTAAGAAAACAGGAAACTCTAGTTTGTGTTAGGATTTTTTTTTAAATTCCTTTAAAAACCCATTACATTGCCCATATGACTAATTTAGTTAGTTAGTCATCATATTTACATCTTAGACTCCCAATACTACTCATTTATTTTCGTCTTAATTATTCTTCTCGATTGAACTCTAACTCTTGTTTTCACATTGTACCTTTGTAGCGTTGGCGGCGTCGCTGGTTCACTTTAAAGCAGGGCGAGATACCCGAGCAGTTCTGCCTCGAATACTACACCGACCACAACTGCCGCAAGCTGAAGGGCGTCATCGATTTGGATCAGTGCGAGCAGGTGGACTGCGGCCTGCGACTGGAGAATCGCAAGCAGAAGTTCCAGTACATGTTTGACATCAAGACGCCCAAGCGCACCTACTACCTGGCGGCCGAAACAGAGGCGGACATGCGCGACTGGGTGAACTGCATCTGCCAAGTGTGCCATCTGCACGACACCAAGCAGTCGAACGAGCTGCCCCTAGGAGCGGTAAGCTCAGGTGAGTCCCCCGAACCTCGAACCGCTGCTCTGAGGAACTCCCCTTCTCACGTATGCCTTTCCTTGTGAAACACAGACGAGAACCGCACCCAGCACACAAGCTCCAGTGGCGGGCTGAGCAACTCCACCCAGAACACGACCACCACTTCGCTGCACTCCTCGGCCGGAACCACGGCGGCCCAAGTAGGAGCGGCCCCAATGCGACGACCGGCGGTCATTGAGCAGCAGCCGCTGCCTTCCAGTGCGGGCAACAACAACTCGGACTCGGTGTACGTCAACACGGAGTACAGCAACCGTGAGACAATGCTCTGCGACGCCAACTTCGACCAGCAGGATCTCCTGTCGGCAGCCCAACAGCAACCGCCTCCGTCGCCGGCCACTGCCTTGTATCTGAACCACAGTGCTCTGATCCAGGCCCAGGCGGCAGCAGCAGCCGCCGAGCAGCAGCAGCAGCTGCAGCAGGCCGCCCGTATGGCGGTCAGCGCCAACGGAGTGGTGCGGAAGCTGCCGGAGCACTTGGTGCTCACACAGCAAACCCTGGCGGAGGCGGCTGAGAAGCAACACAGCAGCGTGCAGGCCTCGCCCGCCCTGAGCACCGCCTCCGGACCCTACATTGCCATAAGCGAGTGCTTCTCGGGCAGCCCGAGATTCCTGCCCGGCAGCGCGCCTCCCGGAGGAGCAGATGTGGCCATACCAAACAACCCCACCACGCCGTTGAACAACTTGGACCCCAAGTTCTACGACACGCCGCGCAGTCATAACAACATCGGTCTGAACCTGACCAACGATCAGTCGTACTCCCCCAAGATCACGAATTTGAGTCTGGTTAGTTGAAGAAGCAGCTAAGTTAACACGAATTTGGCTCTATTATGTTGTATTTACCTTCCAGCAACAACTGGCCAATGCCAACGCTAGCAAACAGCGATCTGATTCCGATTCGGAGAGCGTTTTCACCGACGACGACGAGTGGGCTCATCCGCTGCCCCTGCGAGAGAATGTGGGTAAGTGCTCGCCTAACGACCACGCTTGCAAGAGAACTATTACTAATTCAAGTTTATCCACAGATCGAAGCACCCGACCCTCGGACAGTTCCATTGAGAACGAGTCGTTTGTGGTGACCTACTCGCAGCGATTCTCCAAAATGCCCGACGAAACTGGACCCGGACTGCCGGCGGCCGAGAAGAACTCAAAGTTGGCGGGAGCAGCGTCTCTGGCAGAGGCTGGTGACCCACGAACGCTGGAGAAGCTGGCCAAGGTGCTGAAGAACAAAAACAATCTCATTCTGGACTTCAAGGAGAACGAAAAGTGAGTTGGGAGTGAGACGGATGTGAGTTTGAACCGAAACTAAATGCAATTTGGTTTGCCTCCAGGATCTCCCGCGATCTGCCGCAGCTGTCGGACACGGAAAACACTTCTCCGGCCATTGTGGCCCGTCGGAATGCCAACTCGGCGTTCATCGAGGAGAGCTACGACATTCCACGCTCCCACCAGCTGCCGTACTACAATATGAGCCAGCTGGGCGAGCGACCCGTGACCAGTCCGCACAACTCCAATCCGATTGCAGCATCCACACCGAATCTCATGGCAGGCGACTTGGGGGCAGTGGCTGCCGCCCTGACTGCTGGGAATCCCGGCCAGACTGGCGGTGCGCAGCCAGCTGCCTCGTCGCCGACCACTGCCCGCACTTTGCCACGGCACTGTTACACGAATGCGGCCCCCACGAAGATGGAGGGCAATGTCTTCCGGTACGACTTCATGGAGCCGGCAGACTGCCCTCCTGTTAATCGCAAGCTGAAGCCGAAGGTGTCGGGCGGACTGCCTGCCGTGGAGGACAAGCCGCCGGAGGAGTTTCCGGCCAAGCCCCCCGGTGGGCGTGGAGCACGTGACCAGTAAGCTGGGAGCAGCCCAGCTTCAGCAGTCGATCGGTCCACCCAGCGTGGACAGGAAGTGTAAACCGAACGCCTATAAGGTGAGCTAAAGACAGGACTTTTTAAATGTATAAATCTTATTAAATACCTTATTTATTTATTGAAAGCTGGGGACCTCGGCCACCATGTCGCCGGCAACGCGTCGCTCCTCGGGAGCCCCCCTCTCAATGGTGCTGCCGCATGAAACGGACGTCCATTCGTCGGCAGCAGCCTCCTTCTTCCACCAGACCAGCACCATGCCCCGCCAGCAGCAGCGCCAGCATCCCAACAGCCCCGGCAGCATGTCGGTGCAGCACCAGCGCACCGCCTCGGCGGCGGCTGCCATGATGAGCTTGGCGGGACCGGCTGCTCCCAAGCAACAGCCGCCGGCGCAGGCGGAGCACAAGCTGCAGTACTTTGACCTGGATGTCACCAACAAGCCGCCGCTGCTGAATCGCTCCAGCATGAGCGTGGGCAACCTCTACTCGCAGGGCGGAAACGGGGCCAGTGGCATGCGGCTGGCGGGCGTGGATGCGGGTGGAGCCCGGGCTCCAGTGCCCAGCAGCGTGGTCTACAACTCCGTGGACTTTGTCAAGACGGAGGCGTTCAAGCGGATCCGCGAGGAGCGCATCAAGGAGAGCAACGAGAGCAGCGGCAACAAGTAGGCCTGCTGCTTGGTCCTCAGATTGGATCCATCACTCAAATGACAACGTGCAATAACCAAGGACCGCGTTGCTGTTCCGAAATTTCGTAGTGCCTATCCGGGGGCCAGCTAAGGATGGATAACTGGCCCCCAAAATCAGTGCAAATTCCGAGTGGCTCTTACATTCGTTTATATCGTTTTTATCGTCGAACTCACCACCCTTTTAACCACATATCTAGTTTTTAAGCGAGCACCAGCACTTTTGGGTGCTGCTATGAATCTGCAATCCATATCTAACCTGCGTCGTTTTATTCGTATTTAAATCGTGCTTCCACACTTCCATGTTTATTGTTAAGCTTCGGAATCAAAACGCAACCATGACAAACGATCTTAGTGCTAATTTTACAATGCAACAATTATTTTATATACGCAAGCGAAATATTTATATACACGAATTTTATATGGTAACAATTATTTACAATTGATAAATGTAACACGTGTGCGACACAAGCTGTAGCTTGATTTTGTGCTTTAAAAAATATATATACAATAATACCAAATTTATGTGTCCCCTAAAAAGTTCTGGAAGAATTATTGGAATTCAATTGTTGTTTTGACATCTCCAGGAAACTGTTTTTATTTATTTGAAAAACTGCAGAGTACCATAGCAACCTTTGTTTCGACTCAAAACAAGTCGCTTCCGAAACACCTGGCAACGCAGAAGTCAATACTGAGCAGCCTGCCATTTTCAATCGGATAGTCAGTGAACTAGAACGCTTTAGAGTTCCCTACTTCCAACCTTGTACGTTTGCACTGAAAATGTCGCTGGTCTACATCACCCATCACGATGAGAATATTTACGGATGCGAGCACGAATTCGAAAAGGCAGCGGGCCGCAAGGAAAGCGTCTTCGTCTACAAAAATGGTAAGCCTTGGATTTGTCCGAAAGAGTTATGTCCCCTCAATCATCTTCCCATCCCTAGCCGTTGTGGAGAAGGCAGCCAAGTATGCCAGGAAGCTGCGGGATCGCCTGAATGTGGAGGACAAGAAGCTGTCGGTTGTCCTCCAGGACGATGGCACCCGCGTCCTCACCGAGGCCAAGAAGTCCCTCCACCGCACCATGGGCTGTGCCCACACGCCGATCGACCCGCCGTGCGCCTATCTGCGCAAGAACCAGGGCATCAAGTGGCGCCGGGAGAACACCCACAAGTGCCCCCCGGTGACGCCCATGCCCCCACTTCCGCCACCTGGTAGCGGTGGCCACAAGCCTTCTTTGGCGCCGAACTTCATCAAACGCAACAAGCTCTGCGCCAGGCGAACCGTTCCCTGTCCGCCGCCACCGCGGTATGTGGACACTCCCGCGGGAACGCGCCACAACCTGCTCAACTCTGGGCTGGTTCCGCAGTTCATCTGCCGCAAGGACTTCGGCAAGGTGCCGGTCTACCTGAAGAAGACCAAGAGGATGCTGGCCGACATGAACGCGGTGTGCGCGAAGGAGCAGGCGCGACTGCTGGAGCTGTGCCGCGGGATCAAGGGCTTCACCAAGACGCCCACCGTCGACGTGGGTGGCCCGCCCGAAATGCCGGGAATGCGGGTGATGGAACAGGCGGAGCGCAACGAGATCCTGGAGGGCTTGCGATTGAGCCTCACCGACATGACCAAGCAGTACCAGTCCATGTCGCTGCTCATCGACAGCATCGCCAAGCGGCAGCGCAAGGGCAAGCTGGAGTCCGATCTTCGCCAGGTGGAGCAGGACATTCTGCTGATAGAGACCACGCCCATTATCTATGTTTCCGAGTATTAGCAAAGTCATCAGTTTCGTTTCCGTTTCCACCAAGTGTGTCGGCGTCTGGTAGCCGAGTAAGGCTCCCTTTGGATGCAGTTGCTCCGCTCCAGAGGCGGACACACTAAAACGCTTTTTGGTTTAGGTTGAAAATAAATTTCACGTTTATGCAGTAAACATTTCCACAGCGAAGCTTCCACGGCAAATGGGACAGGTTGGCTTTCCTCCGGGTTCGTAGAGCTCCTGCAGGCTCTCCAGCTCAAAAAGGATCGGGCGTTCGCAGAGGCTGCAGTAGCGTCGCTCCAAGCTGGGGGAGATCTGTTCCGATATTAGAGGTTATAACAAATAAGACAGATTAATTCTTACCTCCACAAAGGATATGCAGCAACGCAGCTTTTTATCTTCTTGTTCTGACGAATTACATATTTCAATATTTCCATGGTTTATATGTAAGGCCTGAAAATGTGTTTCGCATTCTTGAACAAAGGCTTTTGTAGTGGAGTTCAGAGGGTGCTCCTCTGTAAAGTCAGCCTTCAGTTTGTTTAAGACCCGTTGAGCCTCCTCGAACAGGCACTTGCTCGCCTGCTCCTGGAATGGTGATCGTTGACCCAGGGACCCAACAAACTGGAGTCTCAGCCTCATGTGTGTGATGGATATCATGGCCAGGAGCAGCTGCATTTCATCCTGGGTCTTCTTTACATGCACAGTCAGGTGGAGGTGACTTGATTGCACACAGAGAACGGATTGCAGGACATGAAATTTAAGTTGCAGCTGCTGAAGCTGCGATTCCGTGGCGGCCTCATTAAATTTGAAGGAGTCTAGTGGACTGAAGCCCGTATATTTCTCCCAATTTTCCTCGGCAAATATGTGAAGCTTGACCTCCGCTAATAAATCGGTGTAGGTAGTAATGGGCTGGCTGAGTTTCAGGCGGTTCGCAAGCTGAGGAAGGGCATTTTGATCCCCAACTTTCACTACTTGGATGACCAACTGTTTCCTTTGGTCCACAGTTTGATTCATATATTCCTTGTTGCGGTAGAGCAACATGGTCATTAGGTTCTTGTGTCTGCTGATGCAAAGTCCCATCACCGAGAAGTCCCTCAGCACATCCATTGGTATGGAATCCATTTGCAGGGTGAGTTGGTTTCCTTCGTGGGTGATTTGCACCCGCTGCAAATGGCTGCTGAGGGTCCCCACTGCGTACCAGTTTTTGTCTAGGCTGCAGAGTCCGGTGATCTTCATCCCGCCGACGTACAGACGCGATTCTAGCCACTCCTTATCTCCAGATCGTGGCATGCTCCAGGTCAGCAAATGCGCGGCCTTGCAGCATGTAATGTAGCAGCAATTGTTGTCGGGGCATTCGGTAATCAAACCCATTTGCAGACCCATGCGATCCGCTTTCCCCCACAAAGCTTTCGTTAAGATTAAACTGGACTCCTCATCCGTGGAAATAGTGTACAGGTGAATGAGTCCATCGATATCGCCGACGAGCAGGAGGTTCTTGAAAGCATGAATATAACAAATGCGCCCGAGCGAAGTCTTCATTTGTTGGTGGCTTAAGAGAGTTTGGAAATCGGGGCTAATAGTGAGCTTCCACAAACTTCCAGAGGCAGTTCCCAAAATCAAAACATGTTGGCCAATCGATTCCGAGTCATCTGGCAACCAAGCAAACATTGTGATCCAGGGGGGATTAATAAACGCCTGATACTTCTTGAAGTTTGTTATTTCTGAGACGTCCGTTTTGGGCAAAAGAGTGTCCCTTAGGGTAACAGACACATTTAGACCTTCCAGTCGACTCCAGCGATTGCTTTCAGCGGGTTTGGTCATCAAGCTGAGGGATCCGTAGGAGTTGAGGGATCCCAGAAGGAGGTTGCCATTTGGAAGCAACTTGGGTGCCCTTTTGACGGATATTAATCTGGTCTCAGGCACAGAAACGGAGCACACCGCTGTGTAAACTGGGTCCAGGGCCAAATGTTGTGCCTCCAGGATATTACAGCTGTCGTAAACAGCTTCCAAGTTCACTTGGTTGGCCAAGACGTCTAAGGGCCGTGGCTCCAAAACATCTAGCTCCAGATTAGCCACTATATAGGGAAATGAGTCCACTACCTCGAATTTGCTTGTCAACTCCAAGGTGACAATGTCCGATTTAGAGCCACTTAGAGCTATAAACTCTCCCTCCGAATGGCTGGCCACAAAATCGTGTATTGAGTCCTGACGAACAAATCCTTTGGCCACAACAGTGAATTCCGAAAAAGCTGAGAATAATAACATTTAGTGAATATTTCTCAATCAACAACATCAACCCAATAGAACCCACTGCTTATAAGCACTTTGTTAGTGCGAATAAGGCGAGCACAACAAACTCTCAAAATCGGGAAATCAACACTATCTTTGTGTTGGTGTCTGTATAGCTCTCACACACTCACATTTGCTGACATCTTGGCCGCCGCTAACAAATTGCTCAGTTACTTTCGTCATTTCGCAGCGCTCAGTTCAGGAACCAAAAAATCCAACGCTATGGCCTCAAAAAAACTTGGCATAGAGACCGTAATAGAAATATCCAAACACGCAAGCTCTTCCAAAGGATTTGACAGGGTCTTGAAAATGGTAAATATTTACATAAAATTGCAATCTAATGAGACGACGCCGAATTTTTGCACCAAAAAAACAGCTGATTCCCGGCAGTGGTGGCATTATATAACAGAAATAAACTATCGATAAGTTCTGTTTTGAGTTTTAAAAAGACTTTTTGTTAAACATCTTTATTGACATCTATTTATAATGCATGCATAAATGTCTAAACTAACTATTGGACTTATAATGAAATCCGCAGATCAAAATCACTGGTGGCGGCGATGGCCACGCCTTAGGAGAGTTCACTGTGGGAACCGAGCACTTGAATCGACAAGGAACTCTTCATGGAGGACTAATCTCCACAATTGTCGACAACTGCACCTCTTATGCATTAATTTCTAAAGGATCTCATCCCGGAGTAACTGCGAATTTGAGCGTTAGCTTTACTGCCCCCGCGTATCCTGGGGAACTTATAGAGATTGATTGCAATACCGTTCGGGCCGGTAAAAAAATGGCCTATTTGGATTGCATTCTGAGGCGCAAGTCGGATGGAAAAATTATTGCCAAGGGCGGGCAGGTCAAGTACATTCAATTCGATAAGGAAAAGCTGGACTTTTAAATAAATTGTAAGATTCTCTGTAAAAAATGCGGAAGGACCTTTTAAATAAACTACTTCAGTCCGCCTTTCGATATATCGATTGCGTAGAGGCTTAATCGAGAAAACAGCTGTTGTTTGTTTTGAAATTTTGGTTGTTATTGTATATTTTTTAAAGAGGTGTTACGTTTTTCTGTGCAGTCTGAGTTTTGATTTCTGAGAATTTCGGCTGCAGTTGAGTAGGTTTAACATTGTCTGTGCTTCTCTGACGTCGTGAAATAGCTTTTTACATTAAGTTTATCAATGTACATAAGTTGTTTATTTTAGTTGAAATGCGGAAAACTGCACTTAAAGATAAAGAAATAGAATCAAAAAATTCCATTTCTTTATAAACGATTTCGATTTATTGCAATAAAATTGAATACGTAATATAAAATCTACATTGAGTATCATTTGTTATCTTTACGCTATTAAATTTGTAGTTCCTCATTCCTCATACTACACAACCAAGATAAATTGTTCTTAAAGATCTCTCTAATAATCACTATTTACCACTCGCAAATTAAGTGTTTGATAGCGCTATCTTTCTGTCTATTTACGTTTATATGCATTTGTGTCTCCAGTCTTTCTAATCGCCTTGATCAAACCAAAAACATTTTACAGCAGTCAACTAGAAGCTTTCTTAGAAGTCGCAGCAATCCGGAAAAAAATGGGGACCCGTAAAAAAGGAGCGGAATTCGTAAAGCATATCACCGAAATCATCACCAAATCGACGGGCTTCGAAAGACACCTAGAAAAGGTTCGAGTTACACCCTATAGATATAATTCCCTATAAATTGGATGAATTATGAATGACATTCATTAAATTTTCTTCTATAAAGGTCAAGATTTTGGATGGCGGCGATGGAGCCTGTACTGCTGAGCTGAAAGTGGACATGGACCATGTTAATCTCTACAAATTCCTGCACGGCGGCTACATTGTGACCCTGGTGGACATGATAACCACATACGCCCTGATGTCCAAGCCCTGCCATCCCGGCGTTTCAGTGGACCTCAGTGTGAACTTTCTAAACGGTTGCAAAATGGGTGACGAGGTGGTGATTGAGGCCAATCTTTCCAAGGTGGGCAAGTATCTGGCCTTCATCGATTGCACCCTGAAGCACAAGAAGGACGACACGGTGATAGCCAAGGGAACCCATCTGAAGTACATTAAATTCGACTAGACTGGTGATCCAATTGAATTTGACCAAATTTATGAGGTTTCCTCAATAAAGTATATTTTTGTTTTGTTTTAAAATTCCATTTTATAGAATGATAGCAGAAGAAGTGATGTTTTATGGGTTATTAATGTGCTTTATTTTATTACATGTGTAGCAGTACATTGTTAGTTAATTGTCAATTAAACATGCTCATTGCGCAATTGCCGGTGTTCGAGTGTTTTCGGTTTATTCGGTTTTGATTAGAGTGAGTGTGGCTACTACGTATACTATGGATAAACGTGTGCTCGTACATCGAGATGCGATATGCGATATGCGTAATTCAGTGGCCGGCGGCTCACTTGACCATCGGGGGGCAGTGGGGGCAGCAGGCCTCGGGGGGCGTCAGGGGGTCCACTCCGGGCGGGCAGGTGACCTCGCCGCAGCGCTCCCGCAGGCAGTTCACCTGCCCGTGGAAGCAGTTGCACTTGGTGCACACGTCCGGGGACCACACCTCGTTGTTCAGTCGCGTGGTGCCCTTGTCGTCGACGCAGTGGCTCCGCTTCGGCTTGGCCGCCACCTGGACCGGAGGAGCGGCCGCCAGTTGGACCACCTGGGCCACCGGCTCGGAGTCCGCGGCGTTGCAGGAGTCCTCCAGCTTGCGCAGCTTCTTGTGCAGCTTCTTCAGCTCCTTCTGGAAGCTGCCGATGAGCTCCTCCAGCCCGCTGACCCGCTCCTCGTTTACGTCGTACAGCGACTCCAGTGGGCTGTCGTAGCTCTCGGCGGTGGCCACCTCCTCCTCCTGGACCTCCCTCTTCTGCCTGCTGCTGCTGCTCCTCTTCACGTAGGTTTGCGGCACGAAGGATTGGAAGACCGAAGGGGAACTCTCGCACCTGGCGCACTCCTGCCACAAGTACAGGTTGATGCCGGGGATGTCCTCGCACTGCTTGTAGCCGCCCTGGTGCTTCGCCAGGATGAACACGTTCTCGGTGACCTGGTCGAAGTTGTCGCCCACGTCGCACAGCACCCTTCCGAAGTTGGCCTGCCTGATCTGCGTGAGCTGCTCGGGGGAGAAGACCCCGGGGTTCTCGTAGTACAGTCGGTCGCCGTCTCGGAGGCGTTTAAACTGCTCCACCAGGAGGCACTGGAAGAGGGGACCCACCTTGCCGCCCTCCACCTGGTCCTCCAGGATGCCGCCCAACCAGACGTCCACGTTGTCCGGGTGCCCGTAGAGCTCCTTCATCTTGCGTCGGATCTCCGCGCTGCCGATCTCCCCGGCGAGGTCCTCGAAGTCCTGCGCCACCGAGAGGTTGCAGAGCTTCCTGTAGACGTTGTAGCCTGGCATGCCGTGGTCCCTGCCGCGCTGGATGTTGATGGCCGCCAGGTCGAGCGCCACGGCGTGCGCCGTCTGGAAGAGCTTCTCCGTGAGCTCCGTGTTGAGGTTCTGGTCGGGGGTCTTCAGCTTGGCGGGCACGGCCAGGAACCCCCGCATCAGGGGATCCACTCCGCCCTCGTAGGCCAGGCGCCAGGGGGCGAAGAAGGCCTTGTGGAGCAGCAGGTGGCCCTGGGGGATCGGCTGGAAGGTCTCGTTCAGGCGGTGCAGGATCGGGTTGATGATGGTGTGTCCGAAGCGCAGGGCGGCCGTGGCGAACTCGTTCGCGATGCTGGGGTTCACCTGGGGGTCGTAGCCCCGGTACTCGCCCATCATCCGCATCCCGCTCTCCCCGACGATGAGTGGCAGCCAGTGCTTGAAGGTGATGTGCTGCATCTGGGCGCCCACTATCTTGCGCGCCTCCTGGTACAGGGTGTCCCCGTCCCAGTGCCGATTTATCTCCTTCAGCTTCCTGGCTATCCGGTTGTGCTCCCGCATCCAGACGGTGTGCATGGCCAGGAGGCCCACCTGCTCGTTCACCCGGATGTCGCCGGAGACGAAGCAGCTCATTGTGTTCTCGTCCAGGTTCCGGCGGCAGTCCATCCCGTCCTGGGGCGCGGCGAAGGGCAGCATGTCCTTCTGGCGCGGGAAGTGGACGCCCACGCGGAGGAGGCCCTCCTCGGCGGTCAGGTTGCGCAGCTCCTGGGCGAACGGCGTGGAGTAGCCGTACACCTGCGAGGCGTCGATGTAGGAGGTCAGCTGGTTGATCTGCTCGCGGTGCTGCACGCTGTCGAAGAAGAGCGAGGTCATCCCCGATCCGCAGATGGCGCTGGACCGCACCACGTCGATGCACCTCCGGTTGCGCACGCGCGGATCATTGGGGGGCACCTCGATGGGGTAGCAGGGCGGGGCCATCTCGCAGCTCTTCTTGCAGTCGATGCCGTCCCAGCTCTCGGAGCTCACCGAGGGAATGGCGTGGTCGAGGTCGTGGTCCAGGAACTGGCCCCACTGCATCACCATGTGCGTGATCCTGGCGTCCGGCGTGATCTCCTTGGTGGCCACCAGGGAAGTGGATACCAGTCTAGCGCTGGGTTTGGGGTGGCCGGAGTAGAGCATCCCCTTGGTCCAGCCCACGGGCATGCTGAACCCGTTCTCGTAGATCGGAGGCGCCAGACGACGGAAGGCGGTGAGGGAGGCGCCCCACGTGGGGTGCTGCAGGTTGTTGCAGGTGCCGTCGATGCTGCGGAAGCGCGAGTGGAAGCACATGTCCGTGCAGTTGGGCGCCTCGCGGTGCTCCATGCAGCCGGACAGCTCCGCCACCAGGTGCAGGTGCTCCCGGGAGAGCAGGTCCCGGAACTCGTACTCCTCGCTGGCCATCGTCAGGTTGTCGCCCTCCTGCACGTGTCTCCTGATGTTCACCAGGGTCCGCTCGTAGATCTCCGCCGCCCTCGCCAGCTGCCTCGCCTCTCCGGTGGGGAAGCGGAACACCCGCAGCAGGTCGCCGTAGTTGGGGGGCGCCTTGTCCGATCTGTTCGAGAAGAGCATGTCCAGGGTGTTGTTGATGGCCAGGTCGATCTCCTTGGCCGCCTCCGCGAAGGCGATGCGCACGTATCGGTCGCCGGGAGCCAGGTCAACATTGTTTCTGAAAGAAAGAAAAGAGGATGAAGGTTGTCAGCTCTTTTTTTTTTTTTTTTTTTTTTGTAAGAGATTGTGGTTGATTTTATGACTGCTATAAATTTCTTAATTCCTTAGTGGGGTGCATATGAATGACATTAGCCTTACCCACTTGTAAATGATTTGAAACACCCCTCGCAGATTTAATTTTATTCCGATGTAGATTTTATTAAATGCCCAGAGCCAAAACGTTGACACCCCGCGAAGAACACAAAGCGCAGAAACAATCAAGATTTCTCGGGGAATTTGCACATTTTAATTACCATAATGCCAGTTACCAGTTTGCAGTTACCAGTTTCCAGATACCAGATAGCAGATACCAGAGTCTAGAGTCGCCCAAATGGCCGCGTTCTCTAATAAAAATGCCAGCCAGTCTATTTCCCTTTTCCGCGCCAGTCTTCCCAGGAAATTATGCTGGATTTTTTGTGTGCAGCAGCAGAAGAAAAATCCGCGCTTTGCTTTCTGAACTCCGAATGCAGGAGGAGGAGGGGTAAGGGTAATGGTGAGGGGACAATCCTGGGTGGGATTGGGTGGTGGGCAGCATTAACAACAATTCATGCCTGGCATTCTGCAGAGGAGGAATGCTCCTTTGGGAAACTTTCGCCTGTGTAAACTTTGGCATTGTGCGGAGGAGGCGCCGTTGAAGGTAATAACTTAACGACCATAATACACCCTGTTGCACCAGAAGTAGAAGTCTGGCACTATCAGTTGCCACTGCTCGTGGCACTGGACCTCCTCCTCCGCCGCCGGGAAGTGGATGTGGCCATGGCGAGCCGAGGACTACATATTTCCACGCTGCCATTCTGCGGCTGCCCTTTTGCCTTGCTCTTTTTTGGGGAGTCGCTTGTTCTTTGGGCGACAATTGGCCACGGTATTGCGGACATTGATCATTTCGGGCAAAGTTTGTGAATCACTCTTGCAAATATTTAAGCAGATAATGGAATTTTTACAAGGTGGCAGAGTAGAAAGTGATTTCAAGGTATAAAGAATTTCATGAACCATACAATAATAATTATTTTGGGTTATTAAATCTCGTACCATCATCCTTGTTATCAATTAGAAGAGTCTGAAATCAAATTTATTTATTTAAGTTTTTTATATGCTATTGTTGTAATATGTATACCTTATGTTGTTAGCTGTTGTTTATTTTTCCTTTAAAAATCTAATTCATCTGAGAAGAAATCCCTTTGAAAGTAAGGGTATCCCTGCTGTCAGCACTAGCAGCTGCCTAATTTGGTGTAAAGTTTTTTGTTGGCTTTGCCCCCAACTCACTTCACCCCGCCTGCCACATGCTGCGGCGCACGGCAATGTATTTCCGTGGTTGGCCTTTTTGCCAGCTGCAGGATGGCAGGAGCAGAGGCTCCAAGAGGCAGGAGGCAGCTGGGAGGAGCAACAACAATGGCAGTAACAGGATAAGCTTTTGTTTTACGCCCAGCATTACCCACAACTTAGTCGGATTTCTGTGTGCGGCTGCCTTTGGTTGTTGTGCTGGCGTGTTTGTTTTATTTGTTGCAGTGGTTTTCAGCGGGCCCTTTCAGCGGTTTTCGCTCACTCTTCATGGAAGGGGAGGGGGAGGGGGAGTAGGACTCACCCACCCCACAGATCCTGGCGAGCAACGCCTTCTTCCAACATAGTTTTTCACTTTTGGCGCCGCTTTCTCGCACCGTTTTCTCCGCTTTTTTCTCGACTTATAACTCGGTGCCCCGCTGCTTTGCTGCGGTCTGGCGACTGGGTTTTCCCTCTCGTAATGAGTAAAGTTTCTAATGCTGCTCTGTAAGCCGATTCCTCCCTCGTATACCCCACACATGGAAATCCCCGGATTTCCACCATTATCCTCCCGCTTTTCCCGGCCATCCCGACTGCATTATGCATCGGAAAATGGCTGTGTAAGCAGAAAGTAAGCCGCCACGGCGGTTCCTTTGTGGCCCGCTCCCCGGTTAATGGCCAAGTATTCCGTATTCCTTATTCCGTATTCCGACCCCTTTTTGCCCGCCCAAATTGATTTACGGTCCGTGGCGAACGGATGCAGGACGATTTGCTCAATAAATTCACATCGTGTCGCTTTTTTCGGAACAAACAATTTGGAAACTTCTAAGGCCGCAAAAGAAGAGTAAAAGTTGAGGTACAAGATGGGAAAGAGTTCTAGTTTCCGTGCACCTCAACAAAAATGTTTCTTTTCTCCTTTAATTGAGTTGAAATTCCTCGAAAATCAATTTCCTCTTTAAATCTCTGGTTGCTTTAAAATGCCTGACAAATAATTATTGCTGAATAAATATTTTCAATCAAGTTGTACAAATTGGAACAGCATGATGTGCTAATAAAAAATTCAAATATTGTTTGTAAACCGAATTTGTAGATTCCTTAAAGATAACAAATGCGAAATAGTTGTTCTGCCAGAAATATTTTAATCTATCCAGGGGCGACTAAATTTTCCTTGGTGTGCTGCACTTCTATTTCTTGTGGCATCCAGCAACTTGTCAACTCAATTTCAATTTGGGCAATTTGGATAACTTGTGCGGTTGCCTCGGCGAGGAATTTCCACTGCCTGTGTCTTTGCCATTTCCACCGACTTTTCCTCCGCCGAATGCATGTGCGAAACTGGGAAAGAGTGAGTGTTGCACGTAGCTCTTCCGGGCTTAGCACGTTTTTCAGTTTTCCAGTTTGCCAACTGGCAACTGGTAACAGAAAGCTGGTAGCTGAAAACTGAAAACTGGCAACTGGCGACAACTTTTGTGCTTCCTCGCCGCCTTTTGATGTTCTTGGTGCATATTTTATTTGCAGTTTAGCTGACAACACGGAGCACAGTGGAGCCTGTGCCTTGGCAACCGGCAAGCGGAGCGGATTAGCAAGTTTGTGCAGCTGTTAACTGCTTTTGATAACAGCCAGTCGGGGTTTGCTGTTTATGCTGGCTTCCCTAGCTTTCCCTGGGTTTCCCTGGGTTTCCCGGCTTTTCCGGCCACTGTGCAGCCGTTTAGCCGCCAGCTTTATTTTATGGTTTTATGTTCTTTTCATAGTTTTGCGGGAGTGGCTTCCAAGCAATTTAGCTCAGTGGATCTCTGCAGGGATTAAAATATCGTTGCAGCCAGCGTCCAATTGTGAAATGCTTTGGTTAATTTTGAAAACAGAACTACGAGTTTATACGTTGTAAAAGACATTTGATGAAACCTGTGGGTTAAAACACATCCCATCCATTGTCGCACTTAATCCCACTGCATCGTTATGCTGGCGCTCGGCTTTTTTGCGACCCAACTGCTTTTCAATTAATTAAGCAAGTTTGCCGCGCACTTAAACGCATTTTAAGTGCGTCCTCCCTCCGCAGAGGCCTCTTTCTTGCCAGTTTCCCTGCTACCTGCTACCAGTTACCAGTTTTCAGCTCCCGGTTCCCCAGTTCTTTCGCCTTTGAGCAAAGTTTTCCCTTTGATTTTAATGGAGTTTTATGCAATCCGCCCTTCGCGCCGCCGACAGCGCAATTAAAGTTGCGGCGGTGCTCAAAGTTGGGCTATTTGGTTTTGATTGGGAACCCCTCGGTGTCCGTGGAGGAGGTGGTGGACTCACCTGATGGTAACCAACGCGGAGGCGGAGGCCCTGCCGAACTGGTTCTTCACCTGGCACTCGTACCGCCCGCCGTCGGGAATGGTCACATTCTTCACGAACAGGCTCCCTGCGCCGCTTATTTGGTACTTCTCCGTCAGCTGAACATTCGGATCAATAAGCCGTCCATCGTGGCGCCACGTAATCTGAAAAGGGTGCACAGCGAGATATTTAGCATAAAGAAGTACATAAAAATTAATTGGTATCAATTAGTATTAATATTCAGAATCATCCAATCATAGTTTATTGTACCATTATTGTAATATCTAAATATGGAAACACAATCAGTAATCTGCGGATAAGCCAGATAACTTATAGATAAATATATTTTCAACTGCATCGCAGCGGAGAATCGGAGCAAAAGGAAATGTCAACAAGTGGCGGGCAAATAAAAAGTTTCCGATTCCGTGGATATTGGTAGCGGGAAAGTGGGTTGAGTGGGTGAGTGGGTGGAGTGGGTGAGTGGGTTGAGTGGGTAGAGTGGGCTGAGTGGGTGGGCTTACCTGGAGGCCGTCCTCCGGCTGGTCGGCCTGGCAGGGCAGCTCGATGGTGGTGCCCGTGATGGCCACCAAGTTGGTCGGCTCGATGGCAAGGACTGGGGGCGACTGCGACCGCTCCACCTTGATGGTGGCCTCCACGCTCGTCTCCCCGTTCTCGTTGCGCGCTGTGCATCGGTAGACTCCTGTGGATGGAAGAGGAGAGGAGAGGCCATCCAGACATCCAGGGATCGGATGATGATGCGAAATGAAATGAAATACATCCGCTTGGCAATCACTTTCGCTGCTTACCGGCGTGCTCCTGGCGGGCGGCGCTCACCACCAGCTCGGTGTTCTCGTTCTCCAGCTGGATATCCGCGGGGGCGGAGGCGGCGGCGGAGGGGGAGGGGCTGCTGGCCGCGAGGAGGGGACTCCCATTGAACTGCCAGTCGATGGTGGGCAGCGGATTGCCGTCGGCGTCGCACTCCAGCACAAAGGCCCTGCCCAGCTTGATTGTTTGGCTTTGCGGCGCGGTTAAAATTTCGGGCAATTCTGCAAGAGTGGCGAGCGCACGAGCAAGAGTGCAACGGGGCGAATGAGTGATTTTCGAGCAATTTTCCCGCTCCAAATGGCAGCAACAAGCGACTAAAGCGAGGCCTGGCTTTTCGGTTCGCTTTCTATGCGGCTTTTGTTGTTGGCGGCACCGCCAAACACCAAACACCATTCCCCCAACCCCCCAGAATCCCCAATCCCCCAGAGGCTCGCATTTGACCCGCTTTAACCGCTGTGCAGTGGAAGTGAATACTTAAAACGTGCTTCATAAAATGGAAACTAATTTTAAAGACGGCTTAATGCAGGCACTTAAACTAGTAGTGTTTTTAATGACTTAACCTATTAACAACCAATGATAAATTCTGAGTGATTCATTTAAGTGTTATATTTAAAAAATCTGTCAGATAAATTAAGCAAATGTTTTGAAAAAATATTTCATATGAAAATATATAGATTTAACATATAAGTGTCTGCCTCTTTCACCCCACTGTGATTCTGTGATTTCGCTCGGGTCTCGGGGGCGTATACGTAATATGGAAATCAAAATTCGCGCTGCATACTTTTCAGCATGGCCACCATATTTATTTATGCACGGGTGTTTGTCTTCGTTTGAGTGTTTGTCCGTGTCTGTTTATGCGTTTGCCGGGTTAATTACGCTGACCAAGCGCCATGGCTGACTGCTTAACGAGTTCATCCGCCCCGTGGTCCCGCAACCCCTCCTAATCCCCACATCCCCAACTTTGCTCCCCCCGAAAACCGCAGAGCGCAATTTGTGCGTGCCCTGGCCGCACATAATAGTTTATAATTTCTGCACTTAATTCTGCGAAATAGTGCATAAATTTCGCACTTCATTTTGTGCCGACGACCACAAATTATAATGAGCCATTGTGCAGTATCAAGGCGTCTGCGATCCCCGCTTCCTGCTTTCTCTCCAGGTTGCGTGCTCCACTCCCCGATGGCCGATGGTTTCTAGTGCGCCATAAAGTACAGTCACGTACAAACGCTCGAAATACGGCAATAACGAATGGAAAAACATAAAAAGCTCAAGTGGCAAGTTGTTTCGGGCTCAACCTCCTGCCGGGATGCACTTCTTCGGCTTTTAATGAGCAAGGAGCTGCGATGCGAGGCGAGGCGAGAGCGCTTAATGTGCGCCAATCAAACCCGGAGCAATTTATTTGATATTGCATAAGGCAACTGCACTAGCAGAAATCTGCGGTTGGAAACTATGCAAAACATTCCATTAAATGTTTATGAACTTTGTTCACCCTTCAGATATAAAACATTTTTGCTGTACATCCCACAAAATATATATTTTTATGTTGGTAAAAAAAAGTGCCTTCCAAAAAGAATAATTAAACTCGAATGCGTTTGATTTGCTGATCATCTTGTTTGTCAAACCAAAAAATGTGCTGAGAGCAAAAATAAAAACTTTTGTGATTTGATTTGTCTACTCGGACATGCAGTGCAGTTCGGTTCAGTTCCATCCAATCACCGACGCCACCTGCTGTCAAAGTTGTCGCAATCCATCTGCCGTGGAGCGAGGATTCCCCGCTGGCCAGAGTCTCCCCCTGCAGAGTCCCACTGCCCCCACATCAGTGAGTCGCCATCAGTGGCCATGGCCAGTGTGCTGGCCAGTCTCGCTTTCATTCCCCGGCCTTCGAAACGATGCCACACTCCCATTTCCACTCCCATTCCCATTCCCATTCCCATTTTGCCGGACAAAAACAAATTAAATCGACTGCAAATTGAGTGAAACGCGACAGTTGTGTCTCCGCTTGTGACGCTTATTCCGGTTGAAACTGTGTGGATTTCACATGGCGATGGATGAAGTGTGTCCTGGTGGGAATCCATTTCCGACCCCCCTACTCCCAAATCTGTTTAGTAATAGCTAACATTTTGGGTATTGTGTTGTACTTTTTGCGACCATCAGTAATAGTACTTTGATTAGTAAAAGGAAAGATAATAAATTAAAACAGCGCAGAAGCTCTGGTGGTTAACAAAAGAGATCTTCAAAAGATCTACAAGTGAGCAGTAAATATATGTTATATCATTAATTTAAAAATAGTTTCAAATGATTTTAAAACACGTGAAGTTCCTATGACGCATCGCTTACATATTCACCTATTCCGACTTCCCTTCGTGTTTCCACATGTGAATACGTGTTCCCCCCTCTCCCTCTCCCTCTCTACCCACTGATTGAAGATGCCTCCCTCCCAATAAGGAAGCTCCCTTCCCGTACTCACCCCTCAGTTCGATGCGGGCTGTAGCCTGAACGCTTCCCAGAGAGTTGCGAGCCTCGCACCGATAGGTTCCCGCCGAGAGTTGGCTGGGCTGCAGCAGGACGAGGCTGCCGTTGGCCTGCAGCTGGAGAGCGGGCGTGGACTGCGAGAGCTGGCGCCCGTTGACGAACCACTGGATGTCCGGCTGGGGCCACCCGGAGGCGGCGCAGTCGAGGAGCACGTGACCGGAGCCGTGGAGCGCCACAATCTGGTCGCGGGGCTGCTGGGTGAACTGCGGAGGCGAGGGAGTTCTACTGGAGGAGGTGGGGGAATCACCCCACACTTGGTTGCTGCGGTCATCCTGGTCCAAGGGAGAGTCTTCCACTGGGTGGCTGGGTGTCTGGCCATTAACTAGGAGGCGGACCGGCTGGGAGCGCAGCTCGCCCATCTCATTGGTGGCGACGCACTGGTAGATGCCCATGTCACTTGGCTCCGCGCTGTGGATGAGCAGGCTGCCGCTGGGCAGGATCTCCGTCCGCGCCTGCTCCCCGCCATTCAGAGTTACCTCCTGCGTGTTGTGCACCCACGTGACCTGGGGGCGTGGCAGGCCGGTGACCTCGCAGCTCAGCTCCACCTGCTCCCCCGCGGATGCCTGGCCGTCTTGGGGCGCCACCAGGAACTGCGGCTTCGCTGCAAGTAGCCACATTCGGAGATTGGTATTTAAACGCATCTGCTTCGTACATCGGAAATCGTGCTCTCAATCGATTGCTGCCTGAAGGAAGCACGTTTAAGCCCTCTTGGGGGAAATTTAATGCAAGATGCCATTTAAATTGAGAAACTATCTATAGTAATTTCAACCCGATTTAAGGATACCACTTGTCTTATGCCAGATTAATATACGAATCAAGGTTATTGAATTCTTATAGTTAATAGAATGAATGTTGTGCAGTCAATTCTGTTTCTTCGTACCATGTTTAATGTCTGTCTGAACTCTATATTGACTTATTATTTATTCAAAGATAACCAACAATTGTTGTACAATGTTTTTCCAATTTAACCATAACATTTTCCATAGCAGAACTCCCACCAAAGTCATATAGTACCTCTACGGTCCAGAATGTAATCCCCCATTGCACTTACCGCACTTGAAGTGGTGCTCGCCGAGGCTGGCGAGTCCCTGGTGCTGGAGGGCCTGGGGGGCGGAGCAGGAGAGCGAGATGGCCACCAGCTGGCGCTGGACATCGAGGTGCCAGCGGCGCCAGAGGGAGTACACCCCGCAGTTGCAGTCGATGGCGTTGCCGTCCAGTCGGAGCCGCTTGAGGCTGTTCAGCCGGGCAAAGCCGTCCACTGGCAGCTGGGTCAGCTTGTTGTTGTACATGATCCTGGACGGATGCGGAGGACACACCACCCCCGAGCCCACCCGAATGACAGTTAGTGACAGGCTACCCGAAAAGGGAATCATCATCGACTTACAGGCGGTTCAGACGCGGCAAGTTGTCAAAGAGTCCGGCGGGCAGCTGCCAAATGTCGTTGTTCTCCAGGAACCTGAAAGCAGATCAGAGGAGGTTGGAACGGAAGAGGAGGACTGATGGAGGTCCTTAATTAGGGCGGTTCACTTACAGCGCCTCCAGGCGTGGCACTCGCTGGAGGAGGGAAGCCGGTAAGCGGCTTAGCCGATTATTGTTCAGGTAGAGGAACCGCAGCGCCGACAGCCCGTTGAGAGCTCCGTCCTGGAGGAAGGAGAGCTCGTTGTCGTTCAGAAAGAGCGTCGTCAGCTGGCCGAGGCCACTGAACGCGTTCGCCGGCAGCTCCTCGATGTGGTTGAAGCGCAAATCCCTGCAAGAATGTTGCCCACCAAAGGCACAAGTGAGAAAGTGAAAGAGTGAGTGGAGGGTGGACAATGGGATGGACAAGGCGATTGCAGATACGAAAGCATTTATCTGATGGATACGAATTGCGTAAAGAGTGAGCGACAGTGAAGCTTACTGCACAGAGGATAAAATACGTATCTATGCTTCAAATTTGTTTACTCAACAGGAATCTATTTTAAATGCATTAAATGCCTAATTTAAACTTCATCACTCTGCTGGATTATTTTCATTGGCACTAATTTATGTGCATACGCCTGCCATCAAAACATGTTGACCAAAACATTTCATTTTCTCAAAAGCTCTGTCAATATTGTCCACTGCTAATATCATAATGGTGGCTTTGATTATTATAAAATAATAGTGGTATAATTTATTTTTCAAAGTGCATTCATACCGAAGAACACGCAGTGGGGTAAATCAATTTTCGGTTCTGGCAAATTGCTGCAAGTTGCCAATGCCAATTCTCGTTATGCCGTCTGCACTGCTCCCTCTGATCGTTCCCTCTCTTTCACACTCTCGGTGTGTGTGTATATTAGGTGTGTGGTGTATTTAAGGCGGTTTCTGAGGGGACTTCACGTGGGTGATTCGGATATGGATGCTTTGCAGCTTTGTCATCAGCAATTAGTGCAAGAAATTTCCTTTGAGTGAGATCCAATTATTTCCCCAGCAAAAACAAAATTAAATAGCAAGTATTTATCCCTCACCGGAGCCGCAGTTTATCCGGCTCTTAGAGCGCTTGATAAACCGCTCTAACGACATCCGCTTGATACGGCAAACAACAACAAACCTCCCGCGTTTACCCAAACATTTTGCACACATTAAAAATTAATTACAAAAAGTTGATGCTCGCATAGTTTAGTTTATGCCCCTTCTCGGCGACAAAGCACCCAAGCGATAAGCTCGGAGCCCCGGCAACCCGGCAACCAACTTGGTGCCACATAAAGCGCTCCAGATGTACATATACTAGCATATAGGATGGGAACCTAAGCCACGGATCGGGCTCTTCTGGCAGATGCCGAGCTCACCAGCTGCCATTAGCAACCGTCCACTCGCAGAAATATCGCAAAAGTGTGATATGATAAGTGAAAAAAGTAAAAACACATAAATAAGTACTCAGTTTTTTGGAAGGGGTAATCACTTGGCAAAGAATTTTTGTAAATTGATAGGAAGAAAGAGGAAATAGTGGTTAAAATTTATAAATAGAGTTGCTCGATAGTTTCATTAAAGATTATTTGTACAACTCCCAAATACTATCCAATTAAGATGATATGATGGGAATTTATAAATAGAGTGGCTTGATGAATTGTTATACTTGTAAATAAAACTGTTGATATAAATAAATGAATTCACTTAACCTATGGGAGATATGAAGAGAATATGCTACAAAATATTTCAAAAAGTTTTAAATATCCCTAAAAAGGTTTTAACTTAGTAGTTTATCCCAGTGCAGCAGCTGCTGAAGGAGGAGGCTAGAGGATTGCAGCGTTTTAAGGATGTAGTTGCAGGAGCGGTTAAAAAAGTTTCTAATCAACTCATGAACTTTGTTGCTGTTGCTGCTGTTGCTGTTGCTGTTGTTGTTGTTGTTGCTATTGCTGTTGCTTTTGGCCGGGCTTAGCTGCTTGCTGGTTGCAAATTCAATGCGGCAGCGAAAAAGTTTCTTCTGCAAAGTGTAAATTATACCGAAATTCAGCTGCTGCCTGCCGCTGGCAACATCGTTTACCGCCGGCTGGAGTTGCAGTTGCACTGCCAACAAAGGTTGGCGCAATAATTATGACCCTGTTCCGCCCTTTTTCGCCCCTTTTTTCCCCCTTTAGCAGCGCTTTTGGCCAGGAGCCACTGCCACTGCAATTGGAGCCGGGCTAAAGTTGTCTAAACAGAAATTATGTTTTGTGGCCACTGTAAACATGCAACGCACAAAGTGCAACCGAACTAACTAACTACCGACAGCAACTAGCGGCAGCAACAACAACGAAAACAACAACCTGCAACCCTAATTGGTGTCAGCGTTTCGGAGTGCAAGTGTGTGTGGTGTGTGTGTGTTGGCCAAGCACTGGTGTCTGTTTGTGTGTGTGTGTCTGTGCTCAAATTGCATCTAAAGACGAGGATGCAGCACACAGGAAAAAAGGCAAAACCCGCACACAGGACAACAAAAAAGGCAACACAAACAACCTACGACAACGAAAACAACTTAAAAATTCGGAGCAAGAGAAAGCGCTTTCTGAAGGGGATTCGACTACCAGATACCCCTTATTAATTAATGGATCACTAAGTCTTTAGTAATATCTAAAAGAAAACATTTAAAAAGTGTGAATAAGGTGTTACAACATTAGAGAAATCTACTTGGTAACCAGCTTATAAAAACATATTGTTCATAGTTAGAAGAGCTTTCTATTCCTCATAAATAATTCCCTCCATCCCAGTATACCTTCTCAAACTTCCACTGAGGGATAGCAAAATCCAGAACAACACCAAAACCACTCACACGTTGAGCTTGAGGCCCTGGCCAACAATAGCAGCAACCACAGGATGGCGGCTCAGATGGGTGGCTCAGATGGGGGTTGAGTGGGTCATGCATACGCCCAAATGGAGCCACATAAACAAAGCAGCCACCGCTCCCCGCCTTTCACTCCTCCGGGTTTTGGATTCGGTCTTGGCTCTCCGGCTCCTTCCTGCTCTACGGGCAGGTTCTATGGCTACGTTCCATGGCTACGTTCTATGGCTATGACTGTGGTCCTGGCCTGATGAAAGACCCAAGTCCCGGGGCCAGTCGACCCACTGGTGCCCATGTGGTTGCCCCGTTCACAGAGCTACACTCGCAAAAAGAATTCTTTGATTGTGATTTAACATATGAAAGGAAAATGTAATGTGTTTCCTAGTAAATTATTGTGCATTTAAAATTCCTTTTCAAATATTGTTTTGATTTCACTTATTTATTTGATTTTGCTGCAATAAAAATATTTCCATTCAATTTGAATTGATTTTTATACAAATATAGTTCTTGTTTGTAAACTCTTTTGTACTAAGCCCCCTAATAAGTCCAAGTGTTTTCCCAGTTTCGAAAAATATTGTTCTTGGTGCAGCAACTTGGCAGCCTCGTGCATTTGCGGCGACTCCAAGGAAGTGGGGCAGCGAGGAGCAGGCTGGGATTCGGGGTGGCGGCCACAATTTGCAAAGTTGCTCGCATTTCTCCGGCGGGCAAGGAGCAGCGGGGAGTGGTTCGGATGGAGAGTGGGGAGTGGAGTGGGTGGATGAACCTTTGTGCGAGTGCGGCTGCTTGATCCACATTTTTGCCCACTTCTTGCAAACTCCATTAGCCCCGCCACCAACAGTCAACAAGGAACACAGCCACATGCAGAGCCGCAGTCCGTGCCACATCCGCAACCACAGCCACATCCACAGCCACATTTACAGTGGGTCAAGCCGAGTGGTGTCGGCAGATGGATCAGTCTAATTTGAATCAACAAGGACTCGGCTTCCTTTGCCCTTTGACTCGGTCACCGCCTCACAGTATTTGCTCAGGAGCAGAGTGCTTTGCGATTCCACTGGCAGCCACTTGGCAAGTCTCTTTCTGCATAGCCAACACCTCCGCACCTCGCACCACTGTGCCACTGCTGCTCCTCCTTCCCCTCTTTCTATACCCCCTCCCACACCCGAATCTCCTCAACACCCTCATACAAACCACTTCTACTTGCTCACCCACCACGTGTGACAAACGACGGTCCACTTCAATGTGCACACACGCTGAGTGCGTGTCCGGGTTCCGGACTGCGGACCACGGACTACGGACATCGGACTCCGGAATCCCCAGTCCGATGCCCCATCGAGCCTACCCATCTGTGACACACTCAGAAAAACAGGATAGAATATCAGTTATCAGTTGGGTAGCATCTTTCCTAATTGTTTGTAGTGATTTCCCAACCTTTTATATAATTTATTTTAAATAAGCAACTGCAACTCAATTAGATTGTTTTAAGAAATTAAAATAACATAAATTGTTACCCTTTGGAACCTAAATATTTAGAGATAATATGCAATTAGTTAACGTATTATCTCACTAACTAACTAACTGCTACAAATCAAGTAACACTGCCTTCTCAAATTTACTATTATATCTTTTATATTTTCAGTAGTATTTTCTCGCAGTGCACACATGCCGGAACCCACTCCGGAGCAAGTGCGTGCTGGAGTTGCTCTCCGGATAAACGGGGATCCGGCGGGGAGCGTTGCAGCGGCCTCAAAGATGGCGTCGTGTCAGTTGCGCAACTATTTACGGAGCTGCTAAAAAAGGACTCGCAAGGAGGCGCAAATAGCTGGAATGCCCCGCCCCTTCCCCCTCTGCTCCGCCCACCTTGGCCACGCCCTAAAAGCCCACCTGCTGTGGGACGCGTCATGTGCGGAAACGGAAATTGAATCTTGAAACTTCTTTTCAGCGCTTCTGACACTTCCGCCGGCCTGAATTTTGATAATGACATTTGCATTGGCAGCTCGCATTATTCGGTGTTTTCAATTAAGTTTGCCGTTTGCAGTGTGGTCCTGGCCTCAGCTGGTGTGTCCTGGCGTGTCCTGTGGTGCCTGGAGTGTCCTGTGGTGCGCGATAGTTGGGGCAGCATTGATGCGCTCGGACATCCTTGCTTCCCCTCGATTCCCCTCGCATTTCTCTCGCTTCTCGCATCCGTGTCTGCACTTAATTAATGCATATTATTGACAAAGGCATGTTCGACTCCGGCATGTTTGTCTATTCACGCATGCCTGCTCTCACACACACACACAAACTAACACCCACAAACAGGACATGCCACACGCACACACACACACTGCAACGATCACATTACGTATACGCTTTGATGTCCCGACGAGAATTTATGGTTAGCCAAAACTGAAGCCAAGAGCGGCGCTTTAAAGCGGCGTGCAGACGGCAAATTGAATGAAAACAATTAGCATTGTGTAGGGTTTATGGTTAACCCA